GTCTCCGATGTCTCCAAAATAGCTCTCATATGTATTTAGCTGTCTGCAGAGGAACAGCGAGAATAGCTCTTTGTTTTTCCAAGAAAGGGACTGCTTGTCTCCCGACATTCTCTCTGGTTAGATGTAGTCTCCCAAACCCATTTTACAGAGGATGGTTCTGCACATTTGTGGCAGACCTCACCGAATTAATGACTGTCTGATGGGAGATGGCAGTAGATTGGATTTTGTAATAAAGCATTAAACATAGAAGGGCCGTAGAGTTCTTGTGCTGCAGATTAGGACTTTAAAATACCCATCAACCTGTAGGAGGTCAGCTTTTGTTTTGATGACTTTCTAATAGAGTGAAATAAAGAAAAGGGACTCTCAAATGATTTTCTGAAACAGTAAATGGCATGTAGTGGAGCTTTTATTTGGTACAGTACTGCTGACTTTTTGGCTATTATTTTTAATACACTCAAAAACAGTCTGTTTTTTTTTTCTTTCTAAGATTTATGCATTTTAGCATTATAAAAAATATATCAAAATGAACTGAATCCAAACTTTTGTTTGCTTGCCCTTTTTATATAATTTTCTCAGTCCTTCTGAGACTTCATCTGCGTCACTTTAAGGCAGACAGATTTCCACAAACAAAACCCCCGGATCATGACCAAATCGTTAAGTATGAGCAGGTCAGCAACGTGATCCGAACCTGTCTCGAGCTATCACAGACGCGACAATATTTTCAAACCTGTTTGATATTATCGCCACGTGATCTCGTAATGTGAGCGACACAATAACAAAGTGGAACTAATCTAACCAATCACAGTGCAGATGGTATAAACACTCTTATCATGCATCTTTATGAACAGACACAAAAAGCCACAAATTAATCAAATCAACTAACTAGAAGTAATTTTAACAAACGCATAGATTGTGTATATAATACCATGTTTAATTTTACTGTTTAATTACCTCCAACTCTTTTTGCAGTACTAACAGTCCTTGTTGTCCACGTCTTCCAAGCCATTGTTTCTGCCATATTCTCTTTTGTCGTGGTTTCTTCTTTCTTTCGGATAAAATAACTGCATAGACCAATTGAAGGGCCAGCTGATCATCCATACTTGAAGATATGGCCTATAATCGCTGTAATTTCTCTTGAGTCTCCGATGTCTCCAAAAGAGCTCTCATATGTATTTAGCTGTCTGCAGTGGAACAGCGAGAATAGCTCTTTGTTTTTTCAAGAAAGGGACTGCTTGTCTCCCGACATTCTCTCTGGTTAGATGTAGTCTCCCAAACCCATTTTACAGAGGATGGTTCTGCACATTTGTGGCAGACCTCACCGAATTAATGACTGTCTGATGGGAGATGGCAGTAGATTGGATTTTGTAATAAAGCATTAAACATAGAAGGGCCGTAGAGTTCTTGTGCTGCAGATTAGGACTTTAAAATACCCATCAACCTGTAGGAGGTCAGCTTTTGTTTTGATGACTTTCTAATAGAGTGAAATAAAGAAAAGGGACTCTCAAATGATTTTCTGAAACAGTAAATGGCATGTAGTGGAGCTTTTATTTGGTACAGTACTGCTGACTTTTTGGCTATTATCTTTAATACACTCAAAAACAGTCTGTTTTTTTTTTCTTTCTAAGATTTATGCATTTTAGCATTATAAAAAATATATCAAAATGAACTGAATCCAAACTTTTGTTTGCTTGCCCTTTTTATATAATTTTCTCAGTCCTTCTGAGACTTCATCTGCGTCACTTTAAGGCAGACAGATTTCCACAAACAAAACCCCCGGATCATGACCAAATCGTTAAGTATGAGCAGGTCAGCAACGTGATCCGAACCTGTCTCGAGCTATCACAGACGCGACAATATTTTCAAACCTGTTTGATATTATCGCCACGAGATCTCGTAATGTGAGCGACACAATAACAAAGTGGAACTAATCTAACCAATCACAGTGCAGATGGTATAAACACTCTTATCATGCATCTTTATGAACAGACACAAAAAGCCACAAATTAATCAAATCAACTAACTAGAAGTAATTTTAACAAACGCATAGATTGTGTATATAATACCATGTTTAATTTTACTGTTTAATTACCTCCAACTCTTTTTGCAGTACTAACAGTCCTTGTTGTCCACGTCTTCCAAGCCATTGTTTCTGCCATATTCTCTTTTGTCGTGGTTTCTTCTTTCTTTCGGATAAAATAACTGCATAGACCAATTGAAGGGCCAGCTGATCATCCATACTTGAAGATATGGCCTATAATCGCTGTAATTTCTCTTGAGAATTTATGTGAGAAAACGTATTTTCGCTGATGGTTGGGAACGCCTCCTCAGTGAATGTTTTGTAGTGTGTGCACCTCGTTAGTGTTGTGTTGTGTAGTATGCGCATGGCACAGCTATGACAAGACGACGACAGATGAGAACAAATCTTGTTGCGTAGTGTGAGCAACACAGTGATTCGGCTAGTCTTTCAATCCTGTAGTGTGAGCCCGGCTTTAGGAAAAATGGTTGTTTTACTCACAATTTGATTGCACATTTCATAATATCTCCTGTCAATTATTGTTGGATACACTTTTATATCATTATGAACTTGCCAATGCAGAATAAACAAAAATAGTTAACATTTGCACCAGGTTTATTGATGAGAATAAAAGTTTACAACAAGGGCTTCCCACAGGAATCTTCCATATTCCATTTGCCGTTCATGAATAATACATTAAGCCCATAGACGCTCATTAATCTTACAGTAGTTATTCTCCAATCCCTGCAAAATCATCAGCAGCACGTAAACACAGTCATGCGGAAGCTACTCAGAAACCCAGTCAGGAGTGTGAGTTGTGGGCCTCAGCCGTAATTTAGAGTGTTATCTTGTCAGAAAAGTGTCTCTCCTCAATTAATTACGACAGCAGAATGGGACAAAAGCAGTCACCGGGAAGTCGCAACCGAGCGTGGGTGACAAAAACCTGCCTTTTCCCACGTCCCTTGTTGATCACAGATCCTGGCGGCTTTCCAGATCCCCACAAATCCTGGCGATCATTGAGATGCCACCGCAGCCCTGCCTTAATTTGTCAGCAGATGCGCATTTTTTCTTGTTTTCCTCTGTGGTGAGACGCATTTCCCTCAGCGTGTCTTCCAATAGCCCACCTTCCTCATCCTCCTCTGTTGACTGCTCAGGCATATAGACTCCTGGACAGGTGCAGGAAGCAGACAAGACAGATGGCCCAGCAAACTTGAGGAACTTTTGTTTTTTCTCTCTCTTATTTTATTTTTTAAGCGAGCTCCTTGCAAACACTGATGCTTCCAGATGCTCTCATTTGTAGATTAATGTCAGGGGGCTGCAAGGTGAATCTCAATAGACCTTCCTGTGATCAGCATCATGGAAAGCTTTGTTTACCTCTAATGCAAGCGTAACCAACCCAGAGGATTCTCCAGATCATTGGGGTCTAAGTTCCGCATGTTCTCCCAGGAATATCAGCGGTCCATGTGAAGAAATCCATCTAATCTGGGTTTGTTCGGTATTTTTAGGTGTTTTTATCTCATTAGTAGCATCAAAGTTAGCTGATTGTTTGCGATGTGCTTGACCTTTTTTGGTGTCAAAACTATCACTTAGTTAATGAGGTTAGGTTGATAGGTTTTTCTCCAGTCAATGGTCCTTACGTTCAGATTTCACACATATGACATTAGATCACACTCAGTGACTTTATTTTTGTGTTTAATTTAGTTTGACCTTTTTTTTATCCAAAGCGATGCAGTACACAAATCTCAATCCTACTGTATGAGGTTAAGTGTCTCACTCATAGTGGTTATTTCAGGAGCTCTCCAGCACAGGTCAGTTGTAATTAAAGCATTATTCAGACAGGATTATTTTTAGAAATTATGTTGAGTTGCGGTTAATATCAGAGGTCATTATATAACATACGTTGATTACTATAACATATGTTGATTACTGGCCACAGTTAGAGAGATTTTAGTATATCAAAATCGGTCAATATTGAATATACACAGGCCCTCATTATAAGCTCATGTTTCTATTTTAGTATTTTAATTTTAATTTTATTTTATAATTAAAAATGTGTCTTCAAAATATGACAATGTATTTTTTAAATAATTATAACTGTATTTAATTAAAAAAATTGTTAAATAAAGTTGAAAGAAAAGAATGTGGAAGAAATCAATGCTATTACTTTATAAAGATGCATTAAATTGATCAAAAATGTTAGTAAAAACATCTAACATATTAAGATTACTATTTCAAATAAATGTTGCTTTTTGAAGGATCGTAAAAAATATTAAGCACCAAATCTGCATGTTAGAAAGATTTCTGAAGGATCATATGTCACTTCAGCATTGTCATCATAGGAATAAATTATATTTTAAAAACTTGAAAAGTTTTTTTAAATAGCATTGAAAATGAATTATTAATTAATATTTTACAATATAATGTTTTTACTGTTTTTAATCAAATAAATTGGTAAGCCTTGCTAAGCATAAGAGACTTCTTTCAAAAACATTTAAAAATCTTACAGAGGCCAAATCTTACAGAATGCTTGTTTTCTTGTGCTTTTTCACACAAAAATTTAAATTCTGTCATTAATTACTTACCCTCATGTCGTTCCAAATCCGTAAGACCTTCGTTCATCTTCAGAACACAAATTAAGATATTTTGATGAAATCCGAGAGCTTTCTGACCCTGCATAGATAGCAATGCAACTGACACGTTCAAGGCCCAGAAAGGTAGTAAGGACATCATTAAAATAGTCCATGTTACATCAGTGGTTCTACCGTAATATTATGAAGCTTGTTGAATAAAGTAGGGTTTTTTTCCACACAAAAAAAAGTATTCTCAGCTTCATAAAATTAGGGTGAGTAATTAATAACAGAATGTTTCATTTTTAGGTGAACTATCCCTTTAAGCTTTAATAATCAACTACTATGTCATTATGGTCATAACATACAGTATCTCTTTTTGGCACATAACATCTTTGCTGTGTGTTTTGTTTGTTTAGGTTATTTTTTAAGAACTAGAGCATCTCCCATCCAGCGCTCGTTCCAGGGCTGCATGCAGCTCATTCAGGTGGACGATCAGCTGGCTGACCTCACCGCAGTGGAGCAGGGAAGGATGGGAGCCTTCGAGAACGTCAGCTTGGACATGTGTGCCATCATTGACAGGTCAGAGCCAACCCTTCTTCCCTTGCCCTGCCTTTCAACAAACACTGGCTGAGACAGTGATTATCAGGTGCAGCAGACTGAGACTGTGGCTTTATCCCCACCGGCAGCATCTGCCCTGGGGGCAGGATCCATCGTGCTCTGCCTGCTCTCCCTGGAGTTGACCTTCTTCATTCCTCGACTTTAATGGCAGATGAGGAGTTTAATCAGAGAGCAGATGCTGTGCGAGAACAGGAGACCGGCTCTTGGTTGTTATCTTTAGATTGATTTTACATACTTTCACTCTCCAAGGCTTAGCGTTTTTGTTTGTTGTCACGTTGTTGTGGATACAGCAGAGGCAAATGCCATTAATGGAGATTTATTGATATGAAACAAAACACATACCTTTTTGTAATCTGAAGAACCTTATTTCGCCACAAAGAACCTTTTGTGAAACAGAAAGGTTCTTCAGATGTTAAAGGTTCTTTATGGAACCATTTAGACAAAAAGGTTCTTCTATGGCATCGTGAAGCACCTTTATTTTTAAGAGTGTAGTATGTAGTAGGGAAGTAGGCATATTCGGATACTGGGCTAATAACAAAAAGCTTGAACAGATCTTCAAAACAAAATCTGTATAAAGACTTCAAAATATAAAACATATGAACATAAAACCAACCAAATCCCATTACGATGTGCACAACACAACCAAATGAGCAAAGTAAATTAAACTTGAAAAGCAATGTTTTTGAAAACACTGCATTTCAAGATAGACATATTGCCTGCCACATTTTTATCTTTAATGTTTTCATGAAATAATGTCTCATTGCCCAGGCAGGAGGATTCCCAAGCAGATGTGAGGGCTAATGTATTCATCCATTGTGCAAGAAAACAGTAATTTGCCTTCAAATTACAGACAATTAAGGGTCAAGCGGCCTGTTTTTAATCACGACTAATCAGATTTGTCTTTATAGTATTTAAAATCAACCTGACCCTTCAAATAGTTAAACTAAATCATCTGTCCATTGATGATATCATTTTGTTTTTGTTGTTGTTGTTGTTGTTTTCATGAGCATCATTTCTCAGCTGGGGGCAGATCTGATGTTGGCGTGGTAATTTTTCATGTATCTTGTTTGATGGTAATTCAATTCTATTGAGATGAAGGAAGCATATCTGGAGACTTCCCTAGGAAAAACATCCATTACTGCAATACAGTCTCATTGTGGGATGTATTCACACAGTTTCGCAAATTTTATATGCGTAAGTTTTAAAGCAAAAAAAAATATTTTATTAACTAATTAACCTTGATTTAACCAGGTTCTCTGTCGGCAGCACTGTTTTTAAATTAAATGTCATTCTATTTAGCAGAAACACACCTTTCAGTGTAAACTAGTCTCATTATATAGGGTTAATAGGTTATGCCTTTTGCCACAATTAACACGTCAAACTGCGAAAAGCAGGCAGTAAATGGAATAAAAAACACAACATCTAGAGTCATATTTACAGTGGCCGAGAGATCTCAGTGTGCTGCAATTTAAAGGGTTAGTTCACCCAAAAATTTAAATTAGGCTGTGTTTTATTCACCCCCAAGGCATCCTAGGTGTATATGACTTTCTTCTTTCAGACAAATCCAGTCGGAGTTATATAAAAAATTGTCTTTGATCTTTCAAGCTGTTTAATGCCACTCATTGCTTCAGTCCAAAAGAACTTAAATAAAAATCGCCAATCCATAAAAAAAAGTGTCTCACACGGCTCCAGGGGATGAACAAAGGCCTTCTGTAGCGAATTAATGCGTTTTTGTAAGAAAAATATCCATATTCAAAACTTAATAATCACTTTAATGTAGCTTGCGCCAACAGTTGGACACAGAAGCAGTTCCGGGAGCATGACGTATGAGGAAGCATTACTTACTTTAGCAAAGGAAAACCAGTCTCCTCTTGGCTTATATCGAAATCCACTGACATTCTTCTCTACAAATCCTTGTTTTGTACTTCTAATTCTTGACCGTTGATTTGATCTCTCCGCTGCGTTTCCGCATGCGTCACTTCTGAGCGGCGCATGCGCAAAGCTGACCTCATACGTCATTCCCCCGGAACTGCTTCTGTTTACAACAGTGAGCGCAAGCTAGATTTAAGTGATTATTACGTTTTGAATATGGATATTTTTCTTACAAAAACGCAGCGATTCACTACAGAAGGCCTTTGTTCACCCCCCGGAGCCGTTTTTTATGGTTGGGCGATTTTTATTTAAGTTATTTTGGACTGAAGCAATGCAACACCCGCTGAGTGGCATTAAACAGCTTGGAAGATCAAAGACAATTTTTTATAGAATTCCGACTGGATTCGTCTGAAAGAAGAAAGTCATATACACCTAGAATGCCTCGGGGGTGAGTAAAACACAGCCTAATTTTCATTTTTGGGTGAACTAAGCCTTTAAGAAAACACATGCCAATAGAAAAAAGCTCCAGTAAATTAATAAAACATCTTCATCACTTTGACAGCACGTGTTGTAAATACTACTGCACTACTGTGTGTGTGTGTGTGCACTTGGATGGGTTAAAAGTAGAGCACAAATTCTGAGTATGGGTCACCATACTTGGCCACACGTCACTTCACTTGAAAAATACTCACAACACAACCAAATGCAAAAACATGCTGCAGAAACAGGAAAGCACTGCAAGTAGCACAAACCACAACGGAACAATTACGAAAATTAACCATGATTTGACTCCAAATAAAATAAATAAATAAATTTTAAAAACACCACAGTTTTACTACAGATATCATGGTTAAACTATAGTAAGTGTAGTAAAACCATGGTTAATTTGTGTTAGGGAAGTTGTAGAAGTTAGTCAGCTTACATAACATTTCACAGTTACAGTAATTGTTTATTTTTTATTTAGGCTAATAATATTCAAAATTCATTCAGGAATCATACGATCAGGGTGTTAAATAAAAAAAAATCTCACCTTTCAGAGTAGACATTGAGAAGCATGTCCGTTTGTCACTTGTTGCGGTTCCCTTAAACATTTGGCTATGTGGTCTGTGAGTATTGACTGCGGGTTCCTGTATTTTGTCGCGTTGTGAGTATTTGCAGCACGTGTGTTGTCAAACTGATGGAGATGTTTTCTTAATTTGCAGGTGTTTATTTCTATTTGCATGTGTTTTTTCATTTGCAGCGCGTTGAGCTGTCTCGGCCACCGTACATAAAAAAAATTTTTTTTAAAGTTGAACTGTTAATTTGGATGATGTGCTGCGAAAGATGCAGTGGTCAAAAACATCTGTCTACTGCATATATATATATTCTGTATGGATCACATTCTCTATGAATCTAGTTCACACAAAATTGCTAGCTCAAAATATCAGCGTTTTCAGAGTTTGAAATTGCCTATTGTGCTTAGAAAATCTCAGGTTAAACAGCACTTGACTTGACATTAACGGCCTCCTACGTTAAGTGCAAAGAATAGCTAATTGATAAATAACTATTTGCTTTCTTTGTGTTCTTTTGCTCATTTATACATTTATGTTTGCAGCTCATTTACGTCGCTCCTCACTGATAAAGACCCTCATATTGAGGCATTGTTTATATTCCATTAGATTTCTTACAGCTCAGTTCGAAGCTTAAGCTCCACTTTAATTGTGTGTAAAGATGCATTGTTCTTTAATGCATCTCATTAGCCTTATACCTCAGGGCTGAGTACATTCTCAACATGATTTAAAGACAAGCTCAGTTCATTCTGCATGTCTTTCTGCCATTTTAAATTCATATCCCTCTCACTGACAATATTTCGATGATGTTTCAGATGAACTTCCTGTTTATTTATGTTTTTGAGGTTACGGTTTATACTGCAATACAGTTAGTTGTAAGTCCCCAGAGGAAAATCTTTTCCTTTATTAGATCAGGCTAGATACCGAATCGCTCCCTCCGAACAGAGTGAACTGTCATAATAGAGGAGGCAAGAGACTGTTGAACGCTCTCCCTGTGTGTTTTTCCGTCAGCGTAATGATGCTTCTCTGGCAAAGCTCCATAGTGACAGCACAGTGAGGAGCAAACTCATTATATGGGATCGGAAGGGGGGCTACCGCTCGCCACGCCATTGATTTTATGTTCGCTTTCATCAGGCCAGGTGATGCACTATCAATCTCCTTTACCAAACGTGTCCCTGTGTTTGACATGTAAAAGAATATTCCATGTCCTCCCACCAGGAAGACACTAAAACACACGACCTTGCAGTTAGATACAGCTCAAATCACATCCTCTCCTTCTACGGGAGATTTTTTTTCTCTCTCTTTTTCTCACCCCTGCAGTATTTCACACACATCAGTTTCCCTCACATCAAGCTATTTCACACATAAGCTGTTCTGCCGAACTTCTGGAGGCCTTCTTAGAATGTGACTCATCCTAAATAGCTGTGCAAAACGTTTGACGTAATGGCGTGTCGAGTGGGGGGTGAGACGGGACGAGAGGGGCTACCGGCTAATCTGTGCCCATCTCTGAGGAGATGCAGATTGGTGTCTCACCCCAACAAGTCTAATCTGACAGAGGCATTTAAAGTCACGTGCTTTCTCTGTTCATAATGGTTGCATTAGAAAACTGTCACTTTCCATTACAAAAGCACAGCTAGGGATGTAAACAGCCAGAGCAGGGAAAAACGATTCGCTGGTCTCCAGGTTTGGGGAAGCTGCTTTGAAACTGTAATTTGTTAAGGTAGTTGAACAGTAGTCAAGATACTCTTTTGCAAAAGTCAAGAAACTCTTTTGAAAAGTAGCTACATTTAAGCTACTTGAGAGTGCAGCTAAGTAACTATCTGGTAATGTCATTTTTAATTTAATCAGAGCTGTTTTCTTCTGGGTTTTTCAAAGAGAGTTTTCGAAAGAATCTAGTAAAGAAAGAATCTAGAATGTAGGGTGACTGCATTCAACGTGAATAGGTTACATTTATACTAAATTCAACATTTAAAGTAGTGTGTATTATAAATAGTGTTTATATGAACTTTACAAATTAACTGATTCACTAGACTGGATCAGACTTTCCACACTGGCATATAAGAGAACATTCAAGAGAATACAATATTTCAGTGAATGAGTTTGGTAGAATGAGTCAGACTTACCACTTGTGTATTAGAGAGAATGTTTATGAAATGATTAACTCAAATGAATCATATTTTCCAATATTCCATGTGAGCAGAATGTTTGATGAATCACTTTACTATAATGAATCAGACTTCTCTTGCGTATTTGAGAGAATGTTTATGAAGCGGTTTGCTCAAATGAATCAAATTTTCCAGTTCGACATGTGAGAGAGAATTGTTTGAGATGTGTCATTTTAATAGAATGAATCAGACTTTTCACTTTTGTAAATGAGAGAAAATGTTTATGGAAGCAATTCACTCGAATCAAATTCTCAACTTTTACATCTAAGAGGAATGTTTTGGAAGAATCACTTTATTAGAATGAATCAAATTGAATTCCACTGTTGCATATGAGAGAGCATTTATGAATCGATTCACTCAAATTAATCACATTTTCCAATGCTACATGTAAGAGAGGAATATTTTAGATTAATCAGTTTGCTAGAATAAATGAGACTTTCCAACACCACATATAAGAGAAATGTTTTGGTAGAATAGTTTTCATACCAAGACATTGCCTAGACACAAATATCCACACATTTTCTTCCGTGCTCTTTATCTTTCTTTGAAAAATTGTGATGGAAATCTCTTGGAAGCTAAGTGACCATGCAACAGGAAATGCTTGTTCAGGCTCACTGCTCTGCAATCTCCAGCTCTCTGCTTGGCCAGGAACAATAGTGAAATTTGTAACTTTCTGGCTCGCGAGAGCTGAGCTATTACCAAGGTTCTTTTCGAATCTATTACTGAGAAGCTATTACCGAGGTCTTATCTCCCAGTGACATGTTGCTGTTGACTCTGACTTAATTTTTTATTATTGGACTGAGTCATCAGTGGCCTCAAATTTCCAGGGACAGTTCTGTTGCTGGAGTTTGATTAATGAACAGTCTAAACTCTATCTGTACCTTTCTCCTCCAGGCACAGATGGCCATTGAGGTAACCCAATTAATCGAGACATGCCATCCAATACAAAATCTACAGTTTGACAGCACCGAAGCTCTGAAAAAGTACGACAATAGCAGTAACGAAGAACTTGTCAGACTTAAGGTTCATTGTCAATGGCATTGTCACAGCTCCTCCTATGAGACATCGGCCTAATGAGTATTAGCTCCAAGGGGATTGTTCCCTAATTTTATTTCATACCGCATTTTGCCGTGTTAATGGATTTGACGTGCAGTTGGCAGGACTGTATGAGGAGCTGTGGAAGTGGACAGCTCACGTTCAGCACAGTTGATGTTTTCAACATCTTCTCAAAGTACAGAACAATATTTTTGGTGAAATTTGAAGTATGTTATTTCACATTCAGTACTTTTCCTGAATATGCAAACTTGATATATTATGATTAATGCACTCGCAGTGTACAGTAGTTTAACTACTGTATAATTGTGTCTGATATTTGTGTTTGTATGATTTTTAATTATTTTATGTATTTATTTATTTTTACTTTAATGTTCAAATTGCTCTCAAATTGATCTGTATCTGTTGATCTGTGTTTATGAAATAAAGCTGAAATAAAATGCTACATAAAATATAAAAAAGTAAACAAGCACATAACAAAATAAAATTATAAAAATCTAAAACTAAAATCTAATTCAAAATATAAATAAATGCTATAATACTATATAAATATTACTAAAATAACACTGCTTGACTGTTGATGGTAACTGTTTTACCTCTGGAATGTTCATTTCATTGTTTTTCTTTTTCCCGTTTGTCCTTTTTTAATTAATCTGTGTATTGAAAATCAAAATAAACATAAGTGTTACATAAAAGGGGAACATAAAAGTGTTTCAACTGTTAATTAATTAGTGTACTTTTTCAGTTTGAAGCTTTTTTAACATTGCAAGACCTTGATGAAGTAAATGACTCATTGTCATCCTCTTCAACACATTCTCAGTGTTTTTAGCTGAGCTGACACTCAGTAATGTGTTTCATTAAGTGCCTGTATCAACTGTGTTATAAAAGCTGTTGCCGCTCAGAAAAAAAGTGCACAAAATTGGTCAAATTGTTCTTCTATTTAAAGCAGCACAGCGGATGGGAACATAGAGGTCTTGAGATACATTTTTAAAACTATGAACGTAAAATCAGAGCGAAAGTATTGAAATGATCAGAGATATTAGGCACTTTTTTCTGGCACGTTTTTCATTTACCACACATGTATTTAAATGTGTAATTCTGCTTTTTTTCAGATGTATGCCAAACCAATGTGAACATGGAGGCCGATGCAGCCAGATCTGGGATGGTTTCACATGTACCTGTGATGGGACGGGATACACCGGAGCCACCTGTCACACATGTAAGAATGTGTGTTTGGGTGTATTTTATTTTATTAATTTATTTTATTTTATTTTGTATTTATTTTTTATTTTATTTTATTCTTAATGGTTGTGTGTGCATAAATGCATGTGGCTTATTGCTGGTTATTTATTCTGATTAAATGTCACGCTTTCCTAGAAATGAAGGATTTTTTTTTTCTGTCAACATCAACTTGTGACAAATGCATTGCAACAGAAATGGTGGAGAACAAAGAAAAGCTTTGTTTTATGTGTAATGAGGGGGAATGTGGAAAAACGAGAATTGGAAACTGTGAAAAACGCAATTCTGTTTAACTAATATGTAGAAGACCTTTCTGAGAAATGTCAGGGTTCTGTTTAACAGTATTTGTTTTCCCTGTATTTGCTTTTATCCATGAATAAGGTGTTAATGATGTAGACAGATTCTTGTTTCGACTGTTTTCGGAGCAGCTTAAACACGAAATTCTAAAATGTTCTGTTTGTTACCAGGTTTAAATTATACTTTGACATAACAACTGAAATGGAAGCATGGGAAATTTTAATCAGCATTGATTTCAGCAGTTTGATGCATTTTAATTTCTCTGAAATGTTTTTATTGATACTTTTCTATTTTGAATGAAACTGCAGTTCTCTCCCCACAACCATCACATTTGATTACATTTTCATTGCAACAGTTCATTACAATGCATTCTGGAATTTCCTTCTCTGAATGATGTGATACTGCTCTTAAATTTGGCCAACACAAGATATTCTATAAAGCAGAAAATTGAAGTTTACTACCTCTCGAAATGACCTTCACATCTGGAGTGGCACCTACGACTCCTTCAGACACTTGCTAGGTTTTGAAACCGAGCTATTGATTGATATAAAAACGTCTGTTGTATTCTCTATGAAGACTGTTCTCAGAGAAATAGTTCAGAATCACTACTGAGTGAAACTTTTTAAGACCCCAGGGGTTAGATGGAGAGGAGAAGAGACTGGAAGTTACACGGCGGCAGCAGTTACACATAAGTCAATAGAAAAGATGTTGAACTCTGTTGAGTTACTTCCCTCAAACCTCTCCACAGACAAAAACAAGGTTGTACTGGTCAATAGTCAAGCTAGAAAAAATATTGTGTATATGCTATTGACCAGTGCGACCTTGTTTTCGTATTTGGACAGGCACAATATATATATATATGTATATATATTTACTGTACTCCCTATATTGCGCTAGCAAAGATGCTGCTTCTGTTATTTGACATTTATTAACTAAATACTTTGTATTTAACTTAACATCTTTTATTTCTTACCTACAGCTGTCTATGAGCAGTCCTGTGAAGCTTACAAGCATTTGGGAAGATCATCTGATTCCTACTGGATTGACCCAGATGGAAGCGGACCGTTAGGTCCTTTTAAAGTCATCTGCAACATGACAGGTAAAATGTGCATTTTTTATTTATTTGTGGCGTACCATAGCACTGAATCCAAAAAGCCCACCGATTCTGCCTGATTAATAAATCAAGCCTTTTACTGAGTATTACATGCTTTCGAGAATCCCTGTATCCCAGGGTTTTTTAAATCCTTCCTATCGCCTCCAGAGACAATCTTTCATTTCAGCTTCTCAACCCATTTGTTTTCAAGCCTCATGAGCATTCTTTTATCAGTCTAGGTCCACATCATCCCACTGATCTGAAAAGAAATAAATCAAATTAAATGGAAGTCTTACATGTAGGGACATTCAAGTATGTAGGAACATCAGGACATAAAATGTTATCATTTCAGGGCAGGAACTGTAGGCATCTCAGAGCATAAGAAATCCCTGAGAGGACACGGTAGAGAGCAAAAATCATCCAGAAAATAAAGTGTCTGTCAATTTCAGAAATATGTAATGTTCATTTAACATTTTTTTAGGGTAAATCTTGTGATTCTTTGAGGTGGGAAGGAAAGATTATGGCTACAGGATCAGGTGGATTTGAATAATATAAACAAAACAAAACAAAATGTTTTTAGAACGTCAGTATTTATTAGATCCCATTAAATAAAACTTGAATAAGTGGAAGGAAATATTGCCATAATGGATCCAGAATGTGTTAAATCAGTTTGTAATTACTTATTTACTTGTTACTTTAATGAGAAAATCTCTTCTTGATTTCATATGTCAATTAAAAAGCTAAGAACTTTTTCAAACTTTTCTTATAAAAAAAATGCTTTACTGTAGTATGTATTTTGCCCTTTTAGTTGGGTAAAATTCTGGGGTGATTATTCATTATGAATAATATTATATAATAAATTATATAATAATTAAATATTAGGTATACTCTACTGTTCAGATGTTAGGGGTCAGTCATTTTTAAAAAGACATTAATACTTTAATTCAGCAAGGATGCATTAAAATTGATCAAAAAAGTAAAAATCCTGAGAAAACATTGATAATAATAAGAAATGTTTCTTAAGCACCAAATCAGCATATTAGAATAATTTATGAAGGATCATGTGACACTGAAGTAATGATGCTGAAAATTCAGCTTTGCATCACAGGAATAAATTACATTTTAACATATATTGTTATTTTAAATTGTTCTTTTCAAATATATATTTTTGAACAGTAGTGTAATTTATTTTTATATCTCTGTAAACATGAAGAGCATATGCTTATGTTACAGTATTAACATACGTATATTTTAATGAATCTGTCAACTTTTCTTGCAATGCCAGTCAGTTTACCTTTTTATGACCATTATTGTATCTGTTTCAGAGGACAAGGTTTGGACGACTGTGGTGAATAACCTGCCGGCGCAGACAGCAGTGACTGGCTCCAGCCGGGAGAGACGAACAGTACTGCAGCTGAACTACAGTGCCTCTATGGAGCAGGTCACAGCTATAACCAACAGCGCTGAACACTGCGAGCAGCAAGTAGCCTACGCCTGCCGAATGTCACGCCTACTCAACACACCAGGTACAGAGAGATCGTCTGAGTATATGTGTGTGTGTGTGTGTGTGTGTGTGTGCGGGCTTGTGTTGCAGAGTATAGATGCTTATAAGGAATTGTGGGGTGATAGAAGGTTATCTAAAACCTTGAATAAAAAATAATAATTTTATCCAACTGTACTGATACTTCTTACCGGAACAAATAAGTGTCAAGTGTCTTGATAACCGGGTAAACTGATGGTAGAATAGGATTGCGACCTTAATAACCCCTCCGTGGCCGATGCGTTCCCACTCTCCACATTATATTTAAATCTGTATTTATGTTATACTGTTAGTGTTATCTGTATGCACCAAGGGTCTGAGAGTAACGCAATTTCAATTCTCTGTGTGTATGTGCTGTACATGTGGTAGAATTGACAATAAAGCAGACTTGACTTGACTTGACTTGACTCGGTTTGAACCCGCTTATTTTTGGCGGTTTGCCCAGTTGCTCGACTGCAATACCACCCCAGAACATGGTTTATGATGTAATGGCTTGATTTCAGGATAATTAGTGTTACATTTGCTCACTTTCTGTGTGTATGTGTGGGCTAACAGCTGGACTAACTATACTAAAACACTAATTAGTGCTAAATAAAATCATAACAATGCCAAAGGGTTCTATAGAAAGGAAATAGTTGAATCACAGTTCTTAGAGAAACAAGTTAAGGAAGTATGAACACATTTATGCACAATTTTCCTTGTTAACGGGGTGGGCGGTTTAAGATTATCTCGCTAATAGTTCCATGTGCGCTCTTCTAATTAGTGGTTTAAGAGATTTAAATTGACAAGCTGTTTATAGAGTCTGCAGAAGAAATGGTTAAAGGTTCAAATGTAGGAAGTAAAGTAAATGTATTGGAAATAGAAGGGTTTTTCAAATCTGTTCTCAAGTAAAGATCTCTGAATTGGTTAATTATGTATCTGAAAAAAATACTTTGAACAGTATTATTTATAATGTCATAATGCTGACCGAAGGATTTTCCTATTCTTTCTCTCTCACACTGCACTTCAAGCCTCTTCGTCTTCATCCCTGCAGCTCACGATCATTTGCCTTCTCTCTCATTCATTTGCTCTTATATGCTCTGCCAGTCTTTGCCACTATCCCCTGGCACTCCTGCGACCCATTTTCTGATTACAGTCAGCAATAACAATTTGCAGTGTGGCTGTGGTGCTGGGCGCTGATGCTAATCTATTAATGAGCATGCAGCACAGTGAAGGCTGCTGTGCATGTTCTTACTGTTAATCTGACTTTGGATAAAGCCTCTGCTCTTATTGTGGACTCGTCCTCTGGGCTTGTCTCCCACTACATGTTTGACTCTATGCCATCTATGTGAAATTAGGCATGAACCGAAACTCACTCTCAGCCAGTGCAGGTGAGGGCAGAGGAGGCATGTTCAGCCTCAATGGATGTATAGAGACAAAGTAGTTTACTAGAATCAACACGCAAACTGCCATGTCTTGAACATCTAATTTTATTTCTCTGTTAATTTCAAACAAAATGAGTAAATAAATAAAAGAACAAAACCATATGTGTCATGCCAAATCAACATTAATGATTACATTTTGTTTTTATTTTACTTATATTTTAAGTGACAATATAAAATAATTACAGTACAGTAATTTAATTGAATTATTTTTAAATTAGGGCTGTGCAATTAATCGCATGCGATTGTCATGTGCATCTCGTCAGTAAAGCCGGTTCTGTGATTAGTAGTAAATCTCCATCACATACTTTCAGATGGAGCGGCATTTCAGAGCCATAGTTCACTGACAAGCTACGCAAAATTGCGTTCATAATCACCAGTAAACCGGTTTTACTGACGAGATGCGCATGACAGTCGCATGCAAATAATTGCACAGCCCTATTTTAAATTCCTTATTATTATTATTATTATTATTATTATTATTATTTAATATGTCGTAAATTAAATACTTTTTAAAAACTTATACAATGCACACCTGAGTCTTGTGGTCTAAACACCACTTTTCTGAATAGCTCTGCTTGATAATAATATACATTTAGTCAGATTGTGTGTGAGGTGGGAGTGTATGAGACATTACATGATGAGATTTACAGAGTAGTTTGTTTCACCATGTTATGTAGTGAATGATAGCTGGCGATTTGCACTGGACTGATAGCTTGTCCATCACAGCTCTGCTCTCTGGCCTTCAGTCATCTTTACTGAAGAACAATCAGTGCTGTAGTATGCAGTTATGCACTGTGTTGTCAAACATGTAGGATGGACAGTGTCTCTCCGGGTGTTTGTGTGCCTCCTTATATTAATGCAGTTTTCTAGTTTTGCATAATTTATCTGTTTCCAGATAACTTTGTTCATTTTATAATAGACAGACAAGATCACATTTTGGGGGATCAGTGTTGGTAATGGCAGGGAAAGCAGTCAGCCAGTCAGCATACTGAAAGAGCATATGCTCAGCTGATGAGCATTAGTGCAGAGTTGTGTAGTGTCCATGTCACCAGAAGCGCCATGGCCAATCTTAGATTTTGAATGGAATTTTTAAAAAGTACTTTCTCTTTCCCTGAGTCAAGTTAAAACGTAACAGTACTTGTTCAATTCTGAATTATTCGTTCATGCCTAATTCTTTTTTTTTCCAACGAAACTTTTGACATTTCTCTGCTTTTGTGCATTTGTTGTTCTGAGTAGTGCATTAAAGAATCTTTGTTCTTATTTTGTGATGGAATAAACTGATGGAAAGTAATGTATTAGTGTAAAATATTAGGCATTTTTTGGGAAGTCAGCAGAATGTTTTCAAGATGCAGGGCTGTGCAATTGTTAAGTATTAATATAATTTTTTTATTTGTTAATAAAAATGTGATAAATTGTTAGATATTCACATTTAAATAAACCTTCAGTCCAATAAAGAGTTTATTTTTCTTTAGCTATATTTTGCCTAAGGCACAATGTGAACCAGGATTGCCATTTGTGCCCCCTGAAAAACAATAGGTGCATGTTGACCCTGCTTGTCAGAGATTGGGAATTGTCTCTTTAGACAGTTTGTGCTCAGACGCATATGAAGAGACAGTGGAAGAGAAAACTATTTCCCAAAATATGTTTTCTAAATTGACTGTCAGGTTTCATCAAATTATGGAGGGCTGGCATTCTGCAACCAAATGAAGCGTTAAATCAGAATTGCATCCAGGGTGCATTAAGTTTGGTAATTGGGAAGTTAAACTGTAATTGTCCTAATTTCTTGATGCCTTCAACCCACTCATGGATGAGCCGTCAGGTTGTTATATTCCATCCTCTCGTTGTCTGTGCCGTCCCCAGCGTCCTCCAGCCTCTTGACCTCCATTAGCTTAACATTGGGAACGGAGTTGAGAGATGTCTGCCGTACATGTTCGTATGTCATCCCTTCCCATTACGGCATGATCAACAGTGACGTTTTGTTTATTCCTCGTCCCCTATAGAGGGACCAGGGGTCCATTTGTATTTAAATTGTTCTCCTTACAGCTAAATTAACCACCTTCCACTGTGATTAGGCCTCGGCTGTCACGCAAAGGAAATTGGATGTGACGATGATGAATTGAGAAAAGTGTTTTTGTTTTGTCTCCTCCTATTTTTTATCCAGTCATCATAAACAGACCGTATATTGTCAACTGGAGGCTGTGGCTGATTGTATGAGCAGAGCATATAAATAAGAGCAGACAGTGAGCCGTGAACCATCAGGATGCTTTGTGTCTGTGATGTCCACACAATTAAAAGAGTTCCTATTCTTGATCAGCGAGCAAATCTGAAAGACATGAGCTGAGTGCTCAACTTCAAAAACAGGAATTATTTATTCAGCCTAGTGTTCAGAAAACATCTCACTTTCAGCACCATGTCTGTGCTGTGACAATAATGAAATAAACATTGTGCGAATGTTCTATATTTGAAAATACTTTAGATTTACACAACCGAACATTATTCTTATTCTTTTCTTCTGATAGTCAGGACATTTTTGGCATTTGGCTATTCGTTGCTAAAAATTGTGTTACTTTTTAATTGTCTAACCTCTTAACTACCCTGTTAGCTTGATTCATAAGCTACATATACAGTGGGGTTCAAAAGTATGAAATCACAAGCAGAAATGTTGTCATTTTGCATTTTCATATTTAATTCAATATAAACTGAACTCAAATAAATGAGAAATTTGTGTTTTGTATGATTTTTTTTTTTACGATTAAAAAACTATATTGTGTAGAAATATATACCTACCATTCAAAAGTTTGGACTCTATAAATATAATGTTATAATGTTTTTGAAAGAAGTCTCTTATGCTCACCAAGGTTGCATTTATTTGATTAAAATCACAGTAAAAACAGTAACAATTTGAAATATTATTTCAATTACTGTCAATTTTTTATTTTAATGTATATTAAAATATAATTTTATTGTGATGGCAAAGCTGAATTTTAGTGTCACATGATCCTTCAGAAATCATTCTAATATTCTGATAGAAAGTTCAAAAGAGAGCAACATTTATTTGAAATATAAATTGTTTATAAATTTCTGTCACTTTTGATCAATTTAATGTCCTTTCTAAAAAAAAAAGGTGATTAAAAAATTATTAATTTCCTTTAATTTAATAAATAATGTGTGCAAAATGTGTAATATTGCTATAAAATACACAAATTGCTAATTTATTCTTCATTTACAATACTTATAAGGCATAGGTGAACATAACTGCTCTGTGCATCCCTTGAATACTGTATAGATTCTCTGCTGTGATGTTCTTTCTGTATTCTGGTACTATCGGTAAGAGAGTTGAAGATCTTCTCGAGACATAAAGATTTTATAGCAGTATGTAATGTAGGAAACCGCAAAGGGCAGACCTGAGAATGATTAACAAGACACTCTATGGGAACAGAGGGGGAGACATGCAGAGAGAGATAGGTTGACTAGTGCTATTGCCTAAGGAGTCCTGCTCGCTTTTTCTGTCTTTTCTCAAATTCAAATCACTCCTGCAATCTTCCCATCTACAAATCTTCCA